ATGATTGGTAATTAATTTCATGGCAGTACATAATTGTCTGCCACGATCGTCCAGAAGGTACACAGTCACTCCACTAGACGGTATATCCTGTGAAGTGCTCTGAGAGGTCCTCCCAAGGATGCAATGTGAAAAGCGCTATTTCAAATGTAGGATTATTTTTTATAATGTACTACTAATAAATAAATTATACATTGTGCAATATATATTGCAATCTACTCTTAACAAATTCACTGCAATATGAATGTACTACAAACAAATAAACTATTCATTGTGCCATATATATATATACTGTAATCCACCACAGACAAATACATATTCACTGTGCAATTCTATTACCCAGACTGGTCACATCAACTGGATATTATTTCTCAACAAATTCACAAATTCATTCTCCATCTTTCATTGTAGTTGTCCTCCTGCACTGTATCAACACTAAGCTGGAGTGGTGTCTGTTGACAACCCCACCTCTAAATTGTCTAAAATTACCCATGAAGTTTACTGTACATATTTCAAAATAAAATACCCTGGAGCCATTTTAAGTCTGTGATCTCATATGGAGGATCAAATGACTTAAAGAGTAAATCACTCTGGCTTCCTTCTTGTGGTTTTTTATGATGCCATTTGAACCCTCTACCAGATGACTCTGAGCTATCTATTTTCTGTTTAATATGTTTTTCAGTCTGACCTTTCCTGAACCCCAGTTTGTGAAATTTCAAATTTAGAACTCTTGTAGCTTGAGAATTAAATAATTTAATAATACTCCTTGGATTTGATATAGCGCCTTATCACATTGCTGAGACGTCTCAAAGCGCTTCACAGAATATACTGTAAAGTGAATTGACTGTACATTTTGCACAACTGCCACAGTTTAAATTCCAGACACAAACAATACGCACTGAAGCATTTTGAAACAGGAGCAGATGGGATATGTACCGAGAATCTGTCCGTGCATAACAGAAGCGAGAAACCTCAACTGCCGCTGCAACCGTTAATAATAAACACAACGACCGCAGCAGTTCCTCGGGGCGCAGGTGACGCCTGGAAATAAGAAAAAAGCACGAAGCAGGGCTGTTGCAAGCAGCGCGTTTGTGGAGTCCTGTAGCTCAGTGGTTAGAGCACTCACTTTCCAAGTGAGAGACCTGAGTTCAATTCCAGGCAGAGGGCGAAACCTTGGGCAAGTTTCCTTACTCCACACGCCTAATAATAATCCCTCCAAAACCAAAAACAATAATAAATTGGTCATTTTCAATCTACGACTGTTTGTGGGACATTGCTGTGCGCAATTGGCTGCCGCGTTCGCCCACAAATATACAGTCAATTCACTTTACAGTGTGTTCTGTGAAGCGCTTTGGGACGTCCTCCCGACGTGAAAAGCGCGATATCAAATGCAAGGATTATTATTATTATTATTATTATAACGTTGACGTTTTTTTTTCACTTGTGGATTCCGCAAAGCAAACGCAGCCGAGTCACCGCCCCGGGGGGACCTCGCGAGAAGCGCTTCGAGACGTCTCGGGAGACGCGGAAGGAGGCGGTCAAGGCATGAAAGGTGAAAGGGTTATTCCGACTACGAGTTGCAGTGAAGGGTTTCTGATGCAGATGTTGTTGGGCATCCACATCTCCAGATGTGGGCGGTGGTACCATCTGGATCCACGTGTCTGGGTCCCCACGTGGTCCCTCCCCCCTCCCCAATGCTGTCTGACCCCGGGAGTGGCCGCCGAGGGCTCGGGAAGGCTTCGCAGCTCTCCGGAGGCGCAATGCAAAACAGGAGGAACCGTGTCCGCCCGATTGCGCATTGGTTTCGAGGGGAAAAGGCTGGGAATCTCTTTCGGGAATGTCAGGGTTTGAGGGATGGAGGGAGACTGCGGCAGAGAGGGAGAGGGAGGGAGGGAGGGAGGAAGGGATGGAAGGGATGGATGGATGGATGGATGGATGGATGGATGGATGGATGGATGGATGGATGGATGGATGGATGGATGGATGGATGGATGGATGGATGGATGGAGGGAGGGAGGGAGGGAGGGAGGGAGGGATGGAGGAGCAATGGTAATTGCTGTAACCTGCACAGAGGGAGAGAGAGATCACTGTCTCCAACACACACACACACACACACACAGATCTGTTCCAGCAGAGAGAGGGAGAGAGAGATCATTCCCTCTCTCACAGAGAGAGAGAGAGATCATTGCCTCTCTCACACAGAGAGAGAAAGAGAGAGATCATTGCCTCTCTCACACAGAGAGAGAAAGAGAGAGAGAGAGATCATTGCCTCTCACACAGAGAGAAAGAGAGAGAGATCATTGCCTCTCACACAGAGAGAGAGAGAGAAAGAGAGATCATTGCCTCTCTCACCGAGAGAGAGAGAGATCATTGCCTCTCACACAGAGAGAGAAAGAGAAAGAGAGATCATTGCCTCTCTCACCGAGAGAGAGAGAGAGAGATCATTGCCTCTCACACAGAGAGAGAGAGAGAGATCATTGCCTCTCTCAGAGAGAAAGAGATCATTGCCTCTCTCAGAGAGAGAGAGAGAGAGAGAGATCTGTTCCAGCACAGAGAGGGGGAGAGATCACTGCCTACAACACACACGCAGAGATATCACTGCCTCTATCAAAGAGAGAGAGAGATCTCACTGTCTGAGAGAGATCACTGCGTTTAGGACAGAGAGAGAGAGAGATCACTGCGTTTAGGACACACAGAGAGAGAGATCACTGCTCCAGCACAGAGAGAGAGAGATCACTGCTCCATTACAGAGAGAGAGATCACTGCTCCATTACAGAGAGAGAGATCACTGCTCCAGCACAGAGAGAGAGAGAGAGAGAGATCACTGCTCCCGCACAGAGAGAGAGAGAGAGAGATCACTGCTCCCGCACAGAGAGAGAGAGAGAGAGATCACTGCTCCAGCACAGAGAGAGAGAGAGAGAGATCACTGCTCCAGCACAGAGAGAGAGAGAGAGAGAGAGATCACTGCTCCAGCACAGAGAGAGAGAGAGAGAGATCACTGCTCCCGCACAGAGAGAGAGAGAGAGAGATCACTGCTCCAGCACAGAGAGGGAGAGAGGTCACTGCTCCAGCACAGAGAGAGAGAGATCACTGCTCCATTACAGAGAGAGAGATCACTGCTCCATTACAGAGAGAGAGATCACTGCTCCAGCACAGAGAGGGAGAGAGAGATCACTGCTCCATTACAGAGAGAGAGATCACTGCTCCATTACAGAGAGAGAGATCACTGCTCCAGCACAGAGAGAGAGAGAGAGAGATCACTGCTCCAGCACAGAGAGGGAGAGAGAGATCACTGCTCCATTACAGAGAGAGAGATCACTGCTCCATTACAGAGAGAGAGATCACTGCTCCAGCACAGAGAGAGAGAGAGAGAGATCACTGCTCCAGCACAGAGAGGGAGATCACTGCTGCAGCACAGAGAGAGAGATCACTGCTCCATTACAGAGAGAGAGATCACTGCTCCAGCACAGAGAGAGAGAGAGGTCACTGCTCCAGCACAGAGAGAGAGATCACTGCTCCATTACAGAGAGAGAGATCACTGCTCCAGCACACACAGAGAGAGAGAGAGATCACTGCTCCAGCACAGAGAGGGAGATCACTGCTCCAGTACAGAGAGAGAGAGATCACTGCTGCAGCACAGAGAGAGAGATCACTGCTCCAGTACAGAGAGAGAGATCACTGCTCCAGCACAGAGAGGGAGAGAGGTCACTGCTCCAGCACAGAGAGAGAGAGATCACTGCTCCAGCACAGAGAGGGAGAGAGGTCACTGCTCCAGCACAGAGAGAGAGAGATCACTGCTCCATTACAGAGAGAGAGATCACTGCTCCATTACAGAGAGAGAGATCACTGCTCCAGCACAGAGAGAGAGAGAGAGAGATCACTGCTCCAGCACAGAGAGGGAGAGAGGTCACTGCTCCAGCACAGAGAGAGAGGGAGAGAGATCACTGCTCCAGCACAGAGAGAGAGAGAGATCACTGCTCCATTACAGAGAGAGAGATCACTGCTCCAGCACAGAGAGAGAGAGAGATCACTGCTCCAGCACAGAGAGAGAGAGAGATCACTGCTCCAGCACAGAGAGAGAGATCACTGCTCCAGCACAGAGAGGGAGATCACTGCTGCAGCACAGAGAGAGAGATCACTGCTCCAGTACAGAGAGAGAGATCACTGCTCCAGTACAGAGAGAGAGATCACTGCTGCAGCACAGAGAGAGAGAGAGATCACTGCTCCAGCACAGAGAGAGAGAGAGATCACTGCTGCAGCACAGAGAGAGAGAGAGATCACTGCTCCAGTACAGAGAGAGAGATCACTGCTCCATTACAGAGAGAGAGATCACTGCTCCAGCACAGAGAGAGAGAGAGAGAGAGAGAGATCACTGCTCCAGCACAGAGAGAGAGATCACTGCTCCAGCACAGAGAGGGAGATCACTGCTGCAGTACAGAGAGAGAGATCACTGCTCCATTACAGAGAGAGAGATCACTGCTCCAGCACAGAGAGAGAGATCACTGCTCCAGCACAGAGAGAGAGATCACTGCTCCAGTACAGAGAGAGAGATCACTGCTCCAGTACAGAGAGAGAGATCACTGCTCCAGCACAGAGAGAGAGAGAGATCACTGCTCCAGCACAGAGAGGGAGAGAGAGATCACTGCTCCAGTACAGAGAGAGAGATCACTGCTCCAGCACAGAGAGAGAGAGATCACTGCTCCAGTACAGAGAGAGAGAGAGATCACTGCTGCAGCACAGAGAGAGAGAGATCACTGCTCCAGCACAGAGAGAGAGAGAGATCACTGCTCCAGTACAGAGAGAGAGAGAGATCACTGCTGCAGCACAGAGAGAGAGAGATCACTGCTCCAGCACAGAGAGAGAGAGAGATCACTGCTCCAGCACAGAGAGAGATCACTGCTCCAGCACAGAGAGAGAGAGAGAGAGATCACTGCTCCAGCACAGAGAGGGAGATCACTGCTGCAGCACAGTTAGAAGCTGCGGCAGAGAGAGAGAGGGAGAGGGAGGGAGAGAGACAGGAGCTACAGCAGCTCTCTCTCCTCTGCAGACCAGACCCACCTCAGCCATAGCCCTGACTGAGACCGAGAGAGAGAGAGAGCAGCAGCTGACAAGAAATAACGGGGTGAGTACAGCCCTGTGCTGTGGTTTGTATAGATTAAGGTATATAAAAAAATGACAGCAGCCAACAGCAATCTGGGGAGCCTGGGGGGGGGGGGGGGGGGGGGAGGGGGGGAGAGGGAGGGGGGGAGAGGGGGAGGGAGGGAGAGGGGAGATGGAGAGGGGGAGGGGGGAGAGGGGGAGAGAGGGGGTTGAGGGAGGGAGGGAGAGGACTGGGTTTCTGGGCGGATGGTGGCGTTTGTTTTGTTGTAAATGTACTGAGAGCTGCAGTCGGCACAGTTGGAGGGTCCCTGTGCTCTGCACACACACTGCACCCGACCGCGCTGCGCCAGCCCCGGGCTGCTGGGTTACCACCGCCCGCCCGCCCTCCCCACCTCCTGCACTGTGCTGTGCTGCACTACACTGTGCTGTGCTGCACTACACTGTGCTGTGCTGCACTGTGCTGTGCTGCACTACACTGTGCTGTGCTGCACTACACTGTGCTGTGCTGCACTACACTGTACTAGACTGCACTGTACTGCACTGCAGTACACTGTACTCTACTGTGCTGTACTGCACTACACTGTACTACACTACACTGTGCTGTGCTGCACTACACTGTACTACACTACACTGTGCTGTGCTGCACTACACTGTGCTGTGCTGCACTGTGCTGTGCTGCACTACACTGTGCTGTGCTGCACTGTGCTGTGCTGCACTACACTGTGCTGTGCTACACTGTGCTGTGCTGCACTACACTGTACTAGACTGCACTGCACTGTACTGCACTGCAGTACACTGTACTCTACTGTGCTGTACTGCACTACACTGTACTACACTACACTGTGCTGTGCTGCAGTGCTGTTATTCTGTGCGTTTGAAAGGAACAAGACAGCCAGCATTCCGGAGTGAGAGCAGCTTCCTTTCCTATCCGCGGCAAAGGGACAAAAGGGACAGACACATTGCAGTTTCCCAGGTGGGAAACATCTTGACAGGTACAGCAGAAGAAAATGCGGTAGGTTTGAGAGGCAGAGAGACAGAGAGACACCGAGATCTGTGTGGCAGAGGACACTCGGTGAGGACGAGCTCATCTCATCGACCATCACGTCCAAACCAGCGCTTCCTTCCCTTTAAACTTAGTGTGTGAGTGTGTGAGTGAGTGAGTGAGTGTGTGTAAGTGTGTAAATGTGGCTGTGATCAGGATCTGTGTTAAGGTTGTTGCTGCCACTGCGGATGGACGTTAAAGAGTGTATTTTTTTTTAATCCGAAGTGAATTGTGTCTCTCCAGAAGGGATGAAAGGTAGAGAGAGAGAGAGCAGCAGTGAGAGTGGACTCACTGCGTGTATTACAGCGTGTTTGATGGTCTTGCGGTGGTTGCTGTGTTCAGTGCACAGATGAGGGGGTTATTACAGAGGGACTGCTGCATGCTGTTAGCCATTTACTGCATATGTATTTATGAAGGACCTTCAACACCTTCTGGTCCCCATTGGAAACAACTCGTGCAGTTCCAACAGCTAACTGCAGATGAATCAACTTTCGCAGAATTTATTGAAATGCCCAGGAATGTAACCCAAAAATCAGGGAGAATTGCGGATCTGTGAGCGCTTGCATTTCACAGACCCAAGAGAGCAAAGTAAAATCCCTTTAGACATTTGTTTTTTCCCTCCCCTCTTATAACAACAATAATAATAATAATTAATAATAATAATCCTTGCATTTGACATAGCGCCTTATCACGTCTTCGAGACGTCTCAAAGCTCTTCACGGGATATACTGTAAAGCGAATTGACTGTGTATTTCGTGGGCGAAACAAAATTTTCTCTCCAGCTATCTGTCCTCAGATAATCCAGCCAGGTCTCCATCTGCTTACAACATGATCATATTTGTCTGTACCTTTATGCTTTGTCTGGCTGCGGGCTTGTAGGTTTCAGGTTACAGTCCTTATAACGGGTGCTAAGTCTTTGAATCGGTATCTCCTTAATTGACTTTTTTTACAGTGGGGGGAAGGGGGGATGGACAGTGGGGGTGGCAATGTTATTCAGTTCCACGTCTGGCTGGTGTTTGCTTGCAGCTGTTAGAAGAATGGGTTCTGTTGTACTTTATTGCAGCTAATTGAGCTTATCCTGCTCCCCCTCCAGTGGTAAGTCTGCAGAAATCCTTCATGCCTTTACTGTCATAAACTTGGAAAATATCCAGCTTTCCCCCTCCAAAGTAGCCTTTGTCCGAGTTGATCTGCAGCTAGAGATTCCTTTTAAATGTCTGTGTCAATTGTTTTTAGAAATCTGGACTAATATGTTTTCGGAGTAATTCCTTCCCTTTACGAGCACTTTTTAATGTAGGACATTTATCATAATACAATAATAACAAATTATATTTGTATCACTCCGTTCAAATCGGGAGGACGTCATAATGATATGAGATTGCGTTTACTTCTTCTACAACTGAAACTCTTCCACCCTCCACCCCCGCTCCCCCATCCCCAAAGGTTAAGGGGTGACCTGATAGAGGGGGTCAATATGAAGGTTTATGATACGGTAAATAATTACAGAAAATCATCAGCCATGATCTAGAAGAATGGCAGAACAAGCTTGAGGCTGAATGGCCCAATCCTGCTCCTATGTTCCTAATCTCCACTAGCCAGTGATTCAGTAAGAATAGGGCACAAATTCAAGTTAGTGACAGAATGGATTAAAGGTGAGGTTAGAGAAATATCTTTACAGAAAGGTTAGTTGGAATGTGGAGTCCATAGATTTTGGAAACAAATATTAAAGGGAGTGAACAGGAGAATGGGTTAGAAGAGATGGATCACATAGACAAAAACACCAGCTTCCACTTGATGGGCCAAATGGCTTGAGTCTGTGCTCTAATATTTTATCATTCTATAAAACCTATTGGAGATCGATCCTTAAAGTAATACTGCTGACTTGATTTTCATTGCATAGCTGACCTTTCCATTGAAATTGGATATTAATAAAACATGTTTATAAACTAATGTGATATTTTAAAAAGAAAAGATTGTTTTGCATTATGTTACAATACTTGAAGGAGCATAATCCCGGATATTAATATATACCACATAGTCTCTTAAGACAGATGCAGCAGTTTTCCTTTCTTGCTGTTTAATTCCAGTTATACATTTAGTTCCTAGGATATCACTGATCTGTACAAAATTACTTCCAGGCACAAACTGATTCTTGCACACCTTTCCTCCTGCTTTCTTTCCCTTCTAAATCATTTATCACTTTGATTGTGGCTAAAATAATAATAAAACTTGCATTTGATTTAGTGCCTTATAACGTCACCGAGACGTCTCAAAGCACTTCACAGAATATATTGTAAAGTTAATTCACTGTGTATTTAGTGGGTGAAACGTGGCAACCAATTTCGCAAAACTGTCCCACAAACATTAGTGGATTGAGTGAAGACTTTTTTTATGAACACCCTCAAATGCCTCCTCCTTACCTCCCTCTAGGGTGAACCCATTACCTTTGCAATACAGTTTGAGACATTGGTCTAAGTGCAACTTGTTACAGCTGTTGTAGTTCATCAGCTCTGAACTAAGATTGTGTTTTTCAAATGGATCTTGATGTGGCAGACGCTGGCTGCATAAATTTCCTTCTTCACTGCAGAAGTAGCTACTGCTGCACATTTTGTGTCTAGTGTCAAGAACAGTTCTGAACTCAGTGGATGGCTTATCAGTTAGAAGACACCTCGCACCTCATTTCAGGAACACTTAATTGTTTAGGTCAAAATGTAATGTATTTTGATGTAGTATAACCTGTGAAATAGATATACTATATTGGATTTATTGGTGTAATTTATGTATTTGATAATGTAATACAACTACTGCTTGTTGGAGGGCCCCTTTTTTTATAGATACTTGCAGATTGCATATTAAAGGTGACAGTCTGGATTTAATATACCTTTAGATTTTGTCAACTGTTTATTGTTGTATAGTATGAACATTTGATATAGGGCCTTTCACATTGGGAGGATGTCTCTGAGCACTTCAAAGGATTTACTGTAAAGTGTAGTGACTGTGTATATTGTAGGCAATATGTGTTAGCACAGGTTTACGATATACCCAATGCAGATTCATTGCATTTGAAACTGAGTAGGAAAGGGACCAAGGCGTTGTTTAGTATAAATCCATAACAGCAATTCAGTGCTTGACCACAGCAAAAGGAAGACAAATCATGTTCTAAAATACATTTGCAGTGGGATAGATTATAAATCAAAGCATTATATTTAAATACACACTGTAAGATTATGTATGTTTATTGTGTATACTAAATATAGATCCGATTCCTTTTCGAGTGGCAAAGGCAGTTTTAAAATCACGGTGCAGTAAAATTTGGTGCATTTGAGAAGAACTAGAAAGGGAAAGTGGAGTGTGTGCACAGCATGTATATGTCTCCATTAGTAAAGGTGGAAAATGGTTTGTGTGCTCTTTGACTATTGTCTGAAATACCCAGTCACTTGCCAATAAGGTAAAGCAGATATAGGATTTCATGTGGAGAGCATTCGATTAAAAGTCAGAACAAAATCTTTTGACATTGTGAAGATGATTGGCAAGACCATGTTTGGAATATGATCTCTAGTTTTTGTTAAAAGAACATTGATGCATTGGTCAGAGTTCAGAGAAGAGTGACCAGGATAATGCCATGACTTTACAAGGTCCAATTTTGAAGTCCCGGAGGTAAACTTATTTTCAGAGAATATATGATTAAAGGGGGGAGTCAAGGTCTTCAAAATGCTGACATATGTAAATACAATGGATATAAGAAAGCATATTTACCCTTATCAGAGGATAGTACTGGAGAACACAACACTTATTAACCTCCAGCTAGATTAGAAGAACCTCTTTTTATGCACGGATGTGGATATGTGGAAGAGACACTCAGATAAAGCAGTTAGTCTGAGTCCATTAGAAAACTGTTTTAAATAAAAGGATCTGTTGAGGAAAGGGATTGAGAGTTATGAGATTAACCAAAGAAATAGCTATGGGCATTATTTTAATTGGCG